TTATAACTCCCATTTTCACCTTTTCCTTTTGATTACAATAACACCTTCAAAACAGCATCCACTTGATTTTGAAAACTACATTAATTACATGCCATATAGAACAATGGTCTATTATACATATCCTTTCAGTATTGAATGATTGGTTTTTATTGAATATATAGCTAGCAAAAGTAAACTTACAAATAAAAAATAGCAGACAGGGGGAAGTGGCATAGAGACAAAGACATCTTCAAACCAGGGTCTTTCACTACCCATCAGAAATGACTAGAGTAGCGCAAGTGGGAGAGAAAGCAAATGCAATCTCAAAGAAGGCTCTTAAAACACTGACAGAAATGACCAGGGTGGCCCTGCTGAAACAGTCTTGCTGGAGCTTGACAGCATTGGTGGCCTTTGGATGAGAATGACCTCATAGACTCACATGCTTGAATCCTTGGTCCCCTTTGGTGGAAATGTGAGGAAAGCATTAGGATACATGGCCTTGTTGGAGGAGGTATCTCTGAGGTGGACTTTGAACAGCTGCTACTCCTAGTGCACACTCTGCTTCGTGCTTCCGGATCAAGAAGGGAGCTCTCTGCTCTGCCTGCTGCTGTCCTGATCTCCAACCCCAGGAAACAAAACGTGAGTCCAATTTAATGCTGTCTTTTATAAGTTGCTCTGGCAGTGATGTCTTGCAATAGCAATACAAAGTAACTAAAACTTGTTACTCAGTTATTGCCTTGTGAGAAGGTTTCCAGTTACATGGGTGAGCTTCCCATTTGCTATTCCCACAGTAGGTATCTTTTTACCATGAGACAAGCAATTACCTCTGTTGCCAATGGTTCTTCTAGCTGTTCTCCAGGGCTCCATGTCTTGAATACCTTTAACTGTTTTCTGTTCTCCTTTCTCCTCATCACGGGGACGAGAGAGGGGGGAGTTTACCTGAGGAAAGCCCTTGAAGGGCCTTTGAGATAAATGCTTGAGTCTGAAAATGGTGGACTCATGCTCTCAGACTTGATTCCCAATATGTGTAAACAGTAGGTATCAATTTACGAACAGAGGAGTGACAGATGCGTCTTCTGCTAAGGCTTCTCAACTCCTTACTCACCCACTCTCAAAGATTCTCCCTTTACCACCTCCATGTGTTATCCATAGCTAATTACACTGTCCTTATAAATATGGTGAGGGCCATTTACCTGGTTTCTGTGCTGAGGGGACATGTTTCACCTCGATGTCAACAGTAACTGACCAGGTAGGCAACTCTGAGTGAATAAACTGAAAAACGAGGTACAGTAGACACATATTTTATCAAATAGCTGGCACAAGAAAGGAAGATGAAGGAAGAGGCAGAATGCTTTGAACATAAATGTAAATGTGAATTGAAGGTGCTGCCTACTGTGAGTGAGTTGCAAAATCATGATGAGAATCAAGAAGCAGAAGCCACCGGGAGTCTATGGTGGAAAAATTAATCACTGTACTGTATAAGAGAAAAGGGGAGAGAGGAGCACATGGAGGGAGGGACAGAAAGAAGGAAGCTGGCTCTTTTTCTGGTTTTGGGGACCCTACAGCTCATTGTTCAGCCTTAATATATGGAGAGGTGCTGAGTCTTAGGGCAACTCCATATATCAGGGTCTGCTGATATTCATGGGATAGCTGCCCTTTCCTAAACAGAAACGGAGGAGGAGTGGATTGGGTAGGGGAAAGAGAAGGAGGTTACAGGGATGGACTGGGAGGAAAGGAGGAAGGAAAAACTGTGGCTGGGATGTAAAATAAAGAAACAAAGTTTTTTTTTAAAGGCATAATGGGGGAGAGAACCATCCTTTACCATCAACTGAAATCCCAGCATCTATATCAAGGTTCTTCCAGGACTGTTCCTTCTGGCAGCTCATCCCACTCCCTGTAATGTAGTTTCTCAACAACTTCTTCTTGCCTCAGGCTACCCTTCCTGGGGAATCTCCACCTAGCAGAGAGAGTTGCATACTGGTTCAGGGCACCTCTCCCTGCTGAATGTGGTTGTTCATTAACTTACTGATTATCTGACTGGTCTCTCTAGACTCCAGCAGAATACCCGAGAGCTTGCACCCAAAACTTGTGCTCATATCTAAATTGGGGCCAAGATGAGTATTGTATGATCTTAGAGAAGGCAAGAATGAAAGAAGATAATGTATATAAAGAAAGTCCCTTGGCCTCTATGTCCAGTATGTTCTTACTGGTTTGGGCAGCCCTATCCCTATGGCATTACTAATTGTGGCTTCTGTGACCTTACTCTTCAGTGTATCCAGTTGTTGGCTGCAGGTGTTCCATGTTCTTTGCACCTCCAATAGTGAGGGTTCATATTCCAGCCAGTGCTTCATCATCATAGCCTGATGTTTCACTCTCTCAGAGGCTCCTTACAGTGAATCTAACCCTGCTACACATTACTCTGAGTTCAAAGGCTTTCTTTAAACTCTAGGTAAAAGCCTCCATGATTCCAGAACACCTGCATTATCTGTGCCTGGAAAACTAGCATTATGTGAATGATGCCAGGTTCTGCTGAAAATTCCAGCAGTAGTCAGAGCCTCTTGGACCAAGGCTGCAGTGGACTCTAAGTTTCTGAATCTAGGAAAAAACATCCATAGGAAACCACCTTTGAGTACAGCACCCTGCAGCTCTCTCTTTGAAAGGACTTTCAGATGCATGCTGTTTCACACAGTGGAGTCTGTGATCCAGAAACATGGGGTCACAATGAAATTTCCTGTCCCAGATTAATTAGCCCGTTACTTTTGAGTCAAGCCTTACTAACACAAGTGGTTTCTGGATCAACAAATCGTTCACATTTGAAATGCTACAGTCCACATTGAAATAGTAGTCTTCACTATCCACACATCTTTGGCATTCTGGTGTTCTGATCTCCCACCTATTGTGTGTTAAGATAATACAGCGTCCATGACAAGATTCTTCTTCTTTTTTTTTTATGTTTTGTTTGGTTTTTGTTTTATTTGTTTGTTTGGTTTGGTTATAGTTTTTCTTTTAAATTCGGTTTTGTTTTTTGGGGAGATATTGCAAGGGCAGTGGACAGATGAGAAGTCACAGGGCAATGAGTGGGATAGAATGCATGATGTGAAATGCACATAGAATCAATAAAAGCAAGGCCAACAATCAGGATACTGGTGAGGTTGTTGAGGCCATGGCAAAACTCACCTATGATGATCCTGGTACAGAAACTCGCTGAAAGAATATTAAGAAGAACACATCGAATGTTTAGACTGATTATTGCAGCATACAAAAGAATAATCAGGCCATTAAAGGCAAAATCTGCACCCTTGTAGGACTGGATCAGGGACACAATTAATATTGAGTCTCATGACCATGATGATATGTGGATAGGAGAAGCAATTTCAAAATGTTTGAGGAATGTCAGATGTTTTGGGCATGAAAAACAAGGTCATTTGAAAAGGGAGTGTAAACAGGGCATTCCAAAAAAGAATGATTATTCCAGGAACAAGGGCAACACAATATCCCTCCCTTCTGGATTATGCAGAAGGTGTGTGGTAAGGGTAAACATTGGACCAAGGAATGGAGATCAACAAGAGACAGACAAGGTAATCCTTTGCCTGTGTCCTCGGGAAACCCCCAGAAGGGGCTCATGCAGCACAGCAAATTCAGTTCAGACCTTTCCTGCCATCATAGAAGAAACCCCTACTCAGAGCAATTAAAGAACCAAATGCCTCTTGGAATAAACCAGGCATTTTAAAATGAGTAGTGTTCGTCTTTGTAAAGAAAATAAGAGAAAACACTACTCATTTTAAAATGAGCAGTTGGACAATTTGGCAAGTAACTCAAAATAAGACAATTTTGTGTTTTCTGATCTTCATTAATAGCCATCAGGTCTCTGAAATCTCTTGCAATGCACTGTGGAATAATTTTTTTCAGAGCCAGTCCTCTTCTGTAATAAACATGCGCATCTGGTATAACTGTTGAGAGCTGTTCACAGAGTCGTACTGTTTCCCATGATGTATATCTGATGTTGTGATGAAAATCTTAGGGGATGTCTGTCTGTTGAAGTAGGAAGCAAATTCATCAGTAGCTTCAATATAAGCGACCTCTTCATTGTTGGAGTCTACTGTGGTTTCATCATGGACTCCTTGATTATCAACGGTCTTTGGAACAGGCTTTGGTGGAGCCTTATCACCAAGTATATTTATCATCCTTAATGTTTAACTTTCCTTCCCATGCATTAAGGGTGGAAGGCATTGGCTAATTTCCACAAGTGAGTCTGAGTTAAATTGCCAAATTGCAG